GCTGTGCTTAAGAAGTTCTTGTGTTGAAGTTAAGAATCAATGTGTTGTTCTCTGTTGGAAGAAGTAGGATTGATTCTGTGGTAAGGTATTTTTCTCTATTTTTCGTATTACATTTACCTCTGAATAGAAATAACAAATGATGAAATGATATGGTTAATTTGATGTTTTCCTTGTTTTCCCATGTTTTAGCTGAAAGAGACTGCCTAAGAATGTGAATGTTGCCTTTAGGATGTTCTCTGTTGAGGAATATATTGAGTTGACCCTCAATTTCATTCCTAAAGTATTACTCTCTCCACTACTGAGTGATCCTTAAATTATGAAAATTATATAATTAATCCCCCAATCCTTAGATATTAGAAATCATTAAGTAGTCCATCAAGTTTTGAAAAATCTACCAAATTTGTCTCAAATTTAGGAGTGAGATACTTGAGCTACTAAATCGATGGTTTATTCAAATGTTGCTTGAGAAAATAGATATTGGACTTTAAAAGATGAGTGATAACATGAACTTTTCATTCAAGTGCATAAAGACATGCATCTATATTCTTGGTATTATTTGGTTAAGCTCACTTTGGATGTTTCCATTATTTTTGTTAAACTAATAGCTCTAAGAACATGAGCTTCTAATTGCTATTCAGATTAATCATCTAATTAGATGATCATGAATTGTGGCTGATATGTCTATGCACAAATTATATTAATTTGTGCATCAAAACTTTAGTATAGGGGTGGCAATCTTGCTACATGATATCACATAACACTATAATTCTTTTAGTATCTGCCCCTTTGCACCACTTATGGGATTGATAACTATGCTTATAGTATTGTGTGTGGCTCGTCAATCTTGTTATTTTTTTTTTACTGCTAGACTATAGTGTTGTTCCATATGTGCTAGACTGTGGGAGGACCTTAAAAAGTTAAGAGCATGTTTGAGTACTATAAGTGCATTTGAGAATTTTTAGAGATAATTCTTTTTTTTAGTAGCAAAATTCTCAAAAATTTTCTAACTTGTATCTAAATAGATATATGGAAAAAGTTCTTTATTTAAGTGGCCAACTGGCCATGGTTTGGAATGTTGCCTCTAATATGAGGATTGTGTCCCTATGAAGCCATGGCAGCAGCATGATATAAATGAAACAACACTTTTTATTATATATATATATATATAATATTATATATATATATATATATAACATTTTTTTGGGCCCAAAATTTATGTGCTAGTACCTATACACCTCTAAGATAAGTCATCAGAATGTGGTTGGAACTATCCAGTTGTAACAATTTTGATCCCTCATTTTTGTTTATAATTAGCATTCAATTTGAGGACTATGCAACAACAAAAATAGTATAATTTATCATTGTCATAGACTTATGACTTGTTGATGAAATTGGAAATATACGTTTTTAAAGGGATTCACTTGACGACTTATGACTTGTCATTTTTTTAATGGGGAACAGTTCCTAGTGTGGCACTTTCATGTGTGACACCATTAACAAAGTTATTCTTTGTATTAATTTTAATTACTAAATATAAATTTGTTTTAGGATATTTGTGAATGGCATGTGATTGAACCACTCCCATCGTACGGTAGAGGAAGAGACGCAACAGCAAGAAGGTACACCAACCTCACTGATGTTATTGTCACAGGTATGGAAAAAGTTGCAGGAAACAATTATCAAACAAGTAGTTAAGGGTTGGTGAACCTTTTTCAGCAAGTGCTACGCATCAAAACTTTGAATTCATGTTGCCAAAGTTTTCTTACTCTGATTTAAATTCAATGTATTATTCAGTTTAGACTCGTATTTTTCAGTTGATTATTTAATTTAACAGTTCTATAAAATTTGCCAAGGAACTTAGTCTAGTAAAAGTAGTTGATCAAGAAAATCCAACATAGTGTTCTGATAGAAAAAAAAAGACTAATCCAACATAGTGGAAAGCCAATTTGTAGAAACTCTCTCATATTAACTTCTTGTGCAGGTACATTTTAGAAAATGACAGATTTTTGACTACTAGACTCTCACCTAGTGCATTTCTCTTAAAGGGTAAGTTCATTGTGATTTTCATAAGAGAAATAATCAATTTCTTATTTCTTTTCCTGTGCATTTATACCATCTAATAAGTTGAATGAATCTTATTCATATGATGAATTTTACACCATTTTATTAGATTCATGCATCTTCAACTTTTTAAGAATTTTCATTTTCTAATAATTGTTGTATTGTACTATATTGAATTTTCTTATTTCTTTTAGCTATATTGATTTTTTCATGAGAGAATAATTATGGATAAGAGTTGGATACAACAAGCTAGATCATCTAGTAGGTATTTGGATGGATTGAAAAATTTTCTAGACTTTGCATTTCAAAATGTTGCCCAAGGAGATCAATTTTTATGTCCTTGCAAGAATTGCAACAATTGTTCTTGGGGTAATCGAGAGGAAGTGCCGAAGAAAATGAAGGTTAACAATTCTAGAAGAAAAGTTCATCATAAGGTAGCTTCATCTCCAATTCCAGCCAAAGTTTTGAGATACAAGTGTTTTCGACCATTGAATAATAGATACTTGTGTTTTTTCATGTAAAATTGTGTTAAATTCCTTGTTTGATATTACTTATATATTATTTTTACATTTTTAAATGTGTTCCAGCATGATGGCAAGAAATATGTTAGTCCAAATTCTGGATGATTGATTGATCAGCTTCTTATATGCATACCTTGACTGACTTGAATTGTTTTTTTGTCTTTCCATTACTATTGTTATATCTCAAAACCTTAAAAAACTCAACTTGACATGTCAGAAACTAGTTTCTACTAATTATGGGGACATGTGTCTTCCTACACACTTTTTCTATAATACCATAAATTGTCTCTCTAAATTGAAAGTGGCATAAGCTATTTTGCAGGTTCGTGGACCAAGAACATTATGGTCTTGGAAAGTGGATTTAATGGGTGGGAAGAACAACCCTGCTGCCCAAGAAATGTAAAGTTTCATATCCAAGTGGCTCCATGGCTGAAATTCTTGATGAGTTGGAAGAAGTTGCATCAAGCCCTTGTCAAACTCCTTTTGCACCCCAACATGATGGTTAGTTATTTCTTTTATACCTTACTATATAATAACATAATACAGCTACCTCTTGTGTGGATTGACTTGGAATGGTGTTGTTTGTATAATGAGATTAATGTAAAATGCTTGGAATTATCATATTATCTGATGGGGTTTTTAAGAGAATGAGTTGTTTTTTTCTGGTCGAAACCATTCATGTGGCTTCATCTAGTTATAAACTGTCATCACCAAATTTATGCATTTAGAGGTGATCAAGTAAGCAGTTTTAGCTTTCTGTTTATTGTCCTTATCTTTGCTAAGAAACATTATTTTTATTGGCCAAGCATTACCTATTTTGGACCAACTAAACAAGTTACCTTGGACTCTTTCTTTTTTATCTTCCCAATATTTGATCCATGCCTCAAAATTTTGTGCTTAAAATATATACTAAAGAATTCTTAAACGTTTGATGGCTTCATTAGTGTCTGGTTATATAATGGTAGACATGATTTTGCTTTAACCTTTTGCTAAAAACTGTTTTATTGCATCTACACCTTTCATACTGATTTTGCTCAAACCCGACCGTAGTATTGCTTAAAGTAATTAACTAGCATGAAAAAATCACATGTGAAATGTGATACGGGTAACTAACATGGATTAGATTTTACAACAATTTAGTAAAATTAGCTAGATTCAGTTTCTTACTTTAGAGACAGTTAACAAGTTTTAAACCTTTGAACATAAAATTATTATTAGTTTTAATAAACTCGAACACAGTTAATTAATTTTCTGTTTTATCTTAATTAGTTTGTTAATTAGTTAGCCTGTTTCTTTGTCTTTGTCTTTTTTTTTCTGTTAGTTTTGTCTTTTTGTGTATTAGCTTGCATGGCTCCATACCCCAATATATATAGTAACTTTAATTGTTTTTTTAACTCAAAATCTAGTGTGTTTTTGGCTTTATATGTTGTTTCGTTAGTAAGTCTTATAGGTATAATTTGTTGAGTTAATATTTATTAGTTTGATGAGTTCAATATGTATCTATCGTAGTTTGATGAGTTTAGTCTAATAAAGCATATAGTCTTAGTATTATCTAATGCAGATACTTCTTGGATTCAATGAATGCTTTCAAGTCTTAACTATTTTAGATTATTAGTCCTCTTTGTTGATGCTTTGAGTAGGAACCTGGCTTTGGATAATACCTCTTGCTCCTTTTGTCATGATCAAATTCAAATTTTACTTTTTAGATAATTGATTTATTTTTCTTTTTTCTTATCTTCCTTAATTTAGAAATTCAAATTGTGGAAAATCTAGCTGAAGTTGAGAAGTTAGTCGAAAGGTGAATTCACCTCACTTGCTTAAGTCATTAAATTTTTTATTTATATATTTTTTTGTTTGATTTTTTTTATATTATGCTTCATATGTTGTTATTTTTATACAGCAAATCAAATGAAGAAAAAGTCTAAAGAAACTGTTGTTGAAAAAGATCCTAATATGCCAGAGTGTCCACTCAATGCCTTTTCCCTTTTCTTGTAATCTTCTTTCTCTAAAGTATTTTTCTATTTTTTTATTGTTTTATTTAGTAATAATCTTTATTACAAGGAAAAATTTAAAAAATTTTACATTAATGAAGCAAATCTTGATTCAAAAAATGTTGAAAGGGTAAGTGAAAGTTATTAAATTGATATAATTACTTTTGGTTTTATTTAGCCATAAACCAATTAATATTTATTTTGAAAAATATAGGTTAATAAAATGGTTGTTAAAACATGGAAGTTCATGACTAATGAGGTAAGTCTAAGCCTTAGTTTCATTTTAAAGTAATTTGTTGTTGATTGAATCTCTTTTATATGACAATTGAATCAGGAAAAAAAGACTTATTTTGATACAGCAGCTAAAATCAATGCAGAGTCTAAGAAATTGCAGCATATTGCATTAAATGAAAGGTTATTTTTATAATTTATTATTTTATGATGATTTTTATTCACATAAATAATGATTTATGACATTTTTCATTTTGATTTTGTTGATTCTAAATAGGTTGGCTCAGTCTAATCAAATAGGTATGTTGCTAATTTTTAATTTATATCAAGTTTTTAACAATGAAGTGAGCTAGAATTTGCATTAGTATACGATATAAGGATTAACTACATTTGTTTCTTTTTTTTACCTTATTTATATGGATATATGGTCTAAATAGGTAAATGCACACCACTTGGCACAAGTAGAACAATCAATGATTTTCAAATAAAACAAATGGGAAAAAGAGAACATAAGCCCAAAGTTCATTTTGATATGACTAACTTGGGTAAGTCGAAAGAGGGAAAAACTCACAAGAAACAACACAAGAAGAGTAAGTTGAAAGAGTTACATCTTGGTGGTTTCATTTTGTTATATATTATTTTGACTTATGAAGAAACTTATTCTCTTTTATTTCATTCTTGTCTTTTTCTTTAGACATTTAGAATAAGGAAAATCTTGCTAAAACCATTCAGGTTAGTATCTTGTTCTAATTTTATTTCCTGTTTTGGAATGGAATGTCCTAGGATCTAGTGAGGAAAGAAATGAGATATGATATTGGTCCCCCCTCTATTGTGCAGAATATTGACTAGTATGAGAGTAAAAATTAAGTTAATGAGATTTCTTTTTCTACATCAAAAAGTGTTTTCCAATCTATCATTAAAGATTATTTTCTTATAAAAATAATTAAAGTGGATCTTTTCTAGTAAATGAAGACTAGTCCATTTTTTTAATGCACACCACAGATAAGGATTCCTTCTCTGCAAGACCTAATTATATACAGTACAAATTAGATAAGATGATTATCCACAGTCAAATTTAGTCTATATGTATGTATTTACTCAATATTTAAATTTAAAACTACTACTTAAACTTGTGATGAATTTCCTTGGGTTGTCGTTCACTAGATGATGAGAATCATTTGATTCTGGAAGTTATTATTAACTTTATCATCAAAGTGTATTTTATTATAATTAGGTACCGCCACTCGTACAAATGTTAAAATTAAGAATTATAGAAGTAAACATTAATCAGGATATTTAGGTGGCTATTTTTGCTTCTTTATGAAATTAGATCAAGGAACATAATTGCTTCCTTTATTTTGTTTATGTTGCAGGTTTTTACGAGAGAACAAAATGGAAAAGAAGTTGAAATAGAATGAGGCAAAGAAAAGAGGGTGTTGTCTGGGTATTTTGAACTTGTTCTGCAAAGCGCGCATGAGGGTCTGCAACTGTGCCAGGCTCTCTTGTAACTTGATCCTGTTTGTTGAATCTACCAATTCTAATTTCTAAGGAATGAGTTAAGAGTTTAGGACAATATTTAATAGCCATTTTTTTTATTTGTTCTTAATTTTTTTATACCTTTATTTTGTTTATGTTGCAGGTTTTAGAGTGAATATGGTTGTGGTGGTTGTGGCAATTTAGATCGTGTGTATATTGAAGACATCTTACTATTTGATATGGAAGTTACACAACTCAAAATGAGAATTCATAGAAAAATGTAACAGTGACACTTGGATGGTTTTGGTTTTATCTTTGACAAAGAAGAAATTACATGATATTGCAAACTTGACAAATTAGTGTTGCCTTTTGAATGATATCATGATGGACAAAAAATATTTAAATAAGAAGTTTATCTTTATTTTAATTCATTAAATGCATAACTTCATGCTTGCAAGTGTTACAATATAGTAAGTTTTCAATTCATTGTTTAAATTAATAAAGAAGCAATGGATTCAAAGTTGTTATGATTTAGATGTTTAAAACATAAATTTGTAACATTTGATAAATGTGGCAAAAGGTGTCAATTGACAACATTTATAAAATGTTACAAGTGATATGCTAAAATGTTACAAAAGATGTCAATTTGTAACATTTATAAAATGTTACAATTGGTATGTTAAAATGTTGCTAAAACCTTTTAGCAACATGGACTTTATACTACATTTGTAAAAGTGTTGCTAATTATGATTGGTAACATTTTTCTTAATTTGGTAACATTTTTTAAATGTTGTTAAATGTGAAAGATGTTGTAGTGTAGATCTTCAAGATCTTGTAATCA